CAGTTCTGGTCTTGATGTTAGAAATAGGTCAATTAAAGTTCTAGTCTCCTCAGTGATTCGAGTGGGCTCAGTGATTGTTTGTTTCAGATGAAAAGATTTTGTTGTTTGCTGAAAATGCTTTGTCGCAGAAGTCGGGTTCAAATAATTCAGGTTGAAGTCTCCAATAAGAACAATTTCACCATCATTTGTCAGAACGTTGTTTAGAATTTCTTCGACCCGGCTAGTAAAAGCCGCTGGGTCAGCATCTGGTGTTTTGTAGATTGCTCCGCATAAAATCTTCTTCGATTTTGGTTGGCATACTTCAAACCAAATTGATTCAAAGTTGTCGTTCTGTGTTTGGATTGCACTTTCGTCAAGCTGACTGTAATTTAGTTGCTCTGCTATGTATACCGCAACGCCTCCACCATTTTCGTCTCTGTCTTTTCGCATAACATTGTAGCCAGGAAGAGTTATTTCCGCGTCGGTGAACGAGTCATCAAGCCAAGTCTCGTTTATTGTCACGATGTGCGGTTTGTGCTCGTCGCAGAAAAGTCTGAGTTCGTCCGTTTTATTGCGTAGGCTGCAAATGTTGAGATGAAGTAAGCGAAGACCTTTCATCATTCTTCAGCAGCACCACAATAAAATCATAATCGCGCGGATTTTTATTTGATAACACATCAAATTCCAGAAGAAGTAAACAAAGAAATGACCAGGAACTTGAGTTGTGTTGTCAAATAATGCAATCGTCACCCGAAAAAAAAAACTTACAGACTAAACAAAGAAGACCACGACTACAAAGAAATCTATCATATAGTCAGAATTAAAATATGTTTGAGAAGCGAACCTAAAAGCTTTGTTCCTTTCTAACAACAAAGGGAAGCGTATTTCGTTTTTATAACAAAAAATAAAGCACATGGACGTTTCGTAAGCTGATCCAAACCGTAATAAATAAATTTCGATTATGGTGTGCTACGATTTAGTAAAAAGTCAAGCGAGTAACATGCAAATAAAGTTCTGCTGTATCTATTTGCGAACTTCGTAACAAATAACTTACTACCTTGCGTAAGGTAAGTGTGGTATTTTTTTTTAACAATATTCTATTGTTTAAGCTTGTGACTGTTTTTTTTTTAACAATAGTAGTCTGATAGTATCATTTCCCTTTCGGCGTTAGGACTCAGTTCACTTTAGAACTACTTAACGATTTTTCTCGCTAGTTTAAAACTACGGTTATCAGGGATCGATAGTTCTCTCTGGTTTAACGCTTTAATAATTCGCAATCTTAGGTTGAGTGAAGTAAGCGACGTTTCTGAACAGCTGAGTGCCAATCTACTAGCGGGTTGGGAACGAAATGATTCCCACTGGGTACGAATCAACAGAGTACGAAAGGCCTGGGTGCTGCATTTTGTTGCTATAGAAACGAACAACGCTTCCTTTTGTTGTAAGAAAGGAACAACGCTTTCCGAATCGTTACTCAAACATATCTCAGTTCTGAACAAACGATCGATTTCTGTACAGTCGAAGTCTTTACGGCAATGTCATAAACAAAGATAAAGTTCTCAAGCTTTTACAGAAAGTCTGTGGTACGAAACGAGTGAAAAAAAAAACCACTTCATTTTGTTGTTAGAAACGAACAATGCTTTTAGAATCTTCATGGTGTTGTCGGAAACAAATGGCGCTTTAATAAAAAAGATTTCTCGTTTAATTGCCTAATTACAGTCTGAAAATCTGATCTTTTAAAGTATTTGATTCTACGGCCGCCGACTTTTTTCGGGCAACACGACACAGGTTCCGGGTGACATGACTTCAGGCGACTCGACCGTAAACCATTCAGATACATACATACTTACATACATACATACGTTTATTGACCACTTCCCCAAAGGGGCTTTTCAGTGCCAATTACAAAGGAAAAAGATAAAAATAAAAACATATACAAATAATTTAAAGTTACAATTACAAATCATTAGGATATCATTTCTCCCTCTTAAATTTGTCTAAAAGCACCCCTCTAAGCTTACTCCTAAAACTATTAACATCGATGCACACCTTAACCCTTTTCTTTCTGAGTTTTTCTGAAGGTTTTGTTTACGTTTTGACATTGCTATAGAAAAGCTCTTTGTTTCTTGCAAGCTTTCAAGAAAACCTCTAAGACCTATACATTTTCTTAAAGCTTGAAAAATTTGCTACCTTTTGACCATGAGGGAATTAATATTTAATGCATTAGTTAATCATTAAAAAATTCAGAACCTATTAATATATCACTAGAATTATGAAAAACTAACTGGTTGTCTTACAATTTCAGGATTATTCAATAGGCTACTAACATATTTTACAATTTTACAATCTACAGCATATTAACAAGCTTTGGAACCAATAAAATTAGCAAGAACTGATTCCTGTGTCTCATTTTGTCCCAGAAAGTAGGCTTATAAGATATGCAAATTTTCACTGACTCGAGGACTGTTACTAAGTGAACTAGAAATTGTCATTTGCAGATAAACTCAATCAAAATGTTCCAGTT